AAAAAAAAAAAAAAAATCTATTGTTCATGTTTAAGTTGGTTACCATCTTCACATTTAATGTTTATTTCTCTTTTTTTCCTTTTCTTTCTTTCTTCGTCCTCCACGCCTGTATCGCGTGGATGGGGCGGCTCTCGCCCCGTTGGTGGGCGGACGCATAGATGCGCCTGCGCGTCACCGTCACCCACTCGCTGAAAGGCCGCAATATTACAACATGTGTGCAGATAGGCGCCACATATAATGGCCAGATATATATATATATGTATATATATATCGAGGAGCACAGCGCGGCACAGCAGTGGGACCGACACGCAGAGAGAGAGGGAGAGAGAGAGACAGAGAGAGTTGGAGGAAGGCCTGGTCGAATATGTGTATGCCTCTCCCTCTCTCCCTCTCAGTGCCCTCCATGCGCCTGCGCAGTCATTCTCTTGTCGGCTCCGACGACGACGGCGGCAGCCCCGCCGGAGGGACGATGTCGTTGTCGAGGAACGAGCCGACGATGCACTTCAGCACGCGACGTTCCAAGCCGTCCGTGCACATTTGCAGCGCTGAGTCAACCAACTCTGGCCGATACAGAACCGCCGACACATCGTCCTCGAATGCGTCCGCAGAGTACTCACGCAGCCAGGCCAGATTCTGCTGCGCGTTCGTCAGCCACCATTGCGGCACAAACGGCGTNCCTCGAATGCGTCCGCAGAGTACTCACGCAGCCAGGCCAGATTCTGCTGCGCGTTCGTCAGCCACCATTGCGGCACAAACGGCGTCATGGCGCGAATGTACGGCAAGAACAACTCCTCCAGCACCGCTAGCTGCATCTTCTTGGCGTAGTGCTCGCTGTGCGGCACAGGCGCCCCATCTACAGCAGTCGGTTCCCGTGGTGTCGCAGTCATCTCGCTGGTTGCGGGGCTCCCAGTCGAATCTGAGAGAAACGACAGCGGGCCTACCTGGTCAGTGCTGCGTGCCCCCCGTAGAGAGCGCACCCTCTCGACGACAGAGGCCGGAACGAAGCTGGTGGGGGGATCTGCTGCTTCTTTGGTGTCTGCGGCAGGCAAGAAGTGGAAGCCGTGCCTCCACAGCCGTGTGATGTTCACACTCGCGAGACGACGAAAGATATGATCCTGCCGGTAGACTTCTGCGACCGCCCTCGCCGCGGCGAAAGCGTAGACTGATTGGCGGCGAATCACGTAGCAAAAGTCTGCGGCATGCAACACGTTTTGCATGAGGGGCATTATGTGAGAATCGCGCACGACCGTTCCGCCCCCCTCCCCAAGCATCTTCCCAAGCTCGCTGAAGAGTGTTTCGTGATTCCGTTCATCGGTGGCCATCACGAGCTTAGCGACGGTCTCGTGCAGCGCGGTGTCCATTTCACGCGTCCAGACGGATGTGACCGAAGGGAACTCGGTCTTGTTCGGAGATGCAAAGGTGAGAAAGCAGCACTCCGGGGTGTCTAGCAAGGCGAACGCAAGCGAGACGCTGACACTCTGCAGCGGGGAGAGGTAGCTCTGCGTGGTAGCGTACGGGTGGCGGGCTTCAGTAAGAAAACTGTTGCTGGCTCCTATGTGACCCAGTTTCATCACCGACGACGCGAAGAGAAGCCCGAAGAGCTCCTCATCACTGAAGTTCTCCGCAAGATACGGCTGCATCAGGTACTGGTGCGTTGCCACAACGATATCGAATGCATGAATCGCGTTGTGAAACGGATTTCGCGAGCGTATGTATGTAGCGGCAGTGGTGTAAAAGCGGTGAAGCCGCTCCACGTTGAACCCAAAACGCCACGAAAAACTGTAGCGAAGAAATATATTGAGACACGCGAAGACATATACGCTGCTTCCGTAGCGGTTGAAAAGCTCCACAGGATCCACGCTGGGGGATTCCAATTCCTCAAAGTATGGGATGTCGATGCCCCTTAATATTTCCTGAACCTCTTCAACGGGACGTAGCACCGGCGAGTGCCGCGACGAGGGACGCGAGAAGAGCAGGCACCGCTCTGGTAAGTTCCCGTCGAGAGAATACACAGGCATGCCCGCCGCGAAGTCGTCACCGCTGCACAATTCAAGAACTGACGCGCCCTTAGGGAGCGACGGTGCCTGGCCGCGGGGGTACCCAGAAGACACACTGCGTGTGGCATCGATGAGCAGTGAGGTTGACTCGTTGGCGTTGTTGTGTGCACCACCCTGCCCAAGTGGGTTGGAGTCGTCCTCGAGGTAGTGTTTGCCAAGTCCCAGCGAGCTGAGTCCGCCGCCAAACATGCTCGACCCCCATGAGAATGACAAGTGGAGGAAAGAGGCCACCTCCTTATTGGTGCTGTTGTCGTCGTCGTCGAGCCAAGTCTTTGACCCGGGGCCCACAACGACGCGACTCCCATTCTGTGTCGACAATACTGGAGTCATGACTGGCACCGATGATGGGCTCTCCACATTTTTCTTGGTGCGGGTGGGCGTGTCGACACGAAGTGATTCCGGCAGAGACGGGCAGTTGCTGAGAGGAGATTCTGGTGGCTGTATGTTGCCGCCATCTTCAACCGTATCTTTGCCCTTCTCGATGTGGTGAATGTGGCTGGAGCCATTGCCCTCTGCCTGATGGTCACCACTGTTGTATAGGTCTACCAATGACGCCAGCGACAGCACCGTCCCTGTGTTCTTTTGGCAGGTGTTGGTCGAGCCCTGCCACGGCTTTCCCTCGTGCCGCGGCACCTCGGACAGTGAGACCTGGTGCCTCTGGGTGTGTTCTCTCACCCATCCGCGGAAGTCATCTAGGTTTTCGGACTCCATCAGTTTTTGCTCCATTTGAGAGAGAAACCTTGTTAACAGTTGTTCCTGTGGCACAGCACCCGCGTAAACTTCCCTTGGTGAAAGCACCTCGGTCCTTTTCGTCGCGGGCACGTGCATGAGTCTGCTTTGCGTGATTCCTTGATCTGCCCCGTGTCTGGATATCGGTCTGTGTGGCTGTGTGCTGAGTTG